AAAGGCCTGGAGGGTGAAGACAAGTGACGTGTGGTCGTGGCCGTGCAGGGGCGCGGAGACGGGGGAGATGTGGTCGCAGCGGCAGGCTGAGGTGCTGAGCTTTGTTGGCTCTATTGCATCGCGGTGAATTGATCTGATTCTCGCTAAATATCCGCGTCTAGTAGATAAGCAATTGCTGGTGACGGAGGGTGGTTTTATTTTAAATTCATTATCTGAGCTTTGTGGTTAATAAAGTTAAACAGAATACATTTACTTCCCTTTCCTAATAGGAATCAACTGTGCTCCGCAGCCGCTTGTGGGTCGTGCTTTATCCGTGCCCTGAGTAGCCAGCCCTCAGTACAAGGGGAAATTGTTCTTTCCATTATGGCTTTATATTGCCAATCTGATACAATATTTAAACAGATTATCTCAATGCTCTGTTTGTCCCAAACCAATTTTTGCTTTGGCCTATAAAGTGAATCTTCCTTTCAGCGGCTTCTGTGGTACAGGATGTAGTTACATGCATCAACTAGTTCAAAAGACCCATATACAGCATGGATTTAAAGCTGAATAAACCCACAAAACCCTTAGCTAGGACTATAAATGTCACTGTATTTTTATATATGTCTGGCTTTTTTTTTTTTAAGAGAATGGGATTACTGCATCCAGCTATAACTGAAAGCCCTTTGATAATTCAGTGGGTATTTTAAACGTAGCAATGATATACTTCCATAAAACCACACATCCCTGTTTTCTGAAGGATGCTAATAAGATGGTTGGCTTTGCTTTCATGCTCGATGTGTTTATGAGTGCTCTTGCCCATTTAGTTACATCTCTGAATTTAATGCCCCACTCTGATTTCATAGTAATTGTCAGGAGGTTTTTTTTTGCTTTTCGTATGTCCCCACTCACTGTTTGGAAAATGCAGTCTCCTCATTGCTGACCCCATCAGTCTGTCTCCTCATGGTGCTTGTAAAGAAAACCCTCTCCACCAAGGACAGAGATGTTTTTAAACAAACCAATCTGATATCAAACCGAGTTTGCTTAACCCAGAGGTGACCAAGAAGCAGTTGCTGCCTGGCTGTGCCCAGCCTTGAGTTGCTGCCCTTCTCGGAGGCTGCACGCACTGCCACGCTGTGCTGTTCATTATCTGAACAGCATCTGCAGTTCCCTCCTCTGTTACAGATGCCGCAGTCTACTTAGTTTTGTGCAAATGACACTCTGCCCAAACACTCCTGTGAGGCGTCTCTGCAGCTCCTCAGCCAGCTAATGTCTCCATGGTCCTGCTCCGGACTTGTCCTGCTCCGGACTTGTCCTGCTCCTTGCTCTGGTCACACCAGTGAGCAAGTACCACGGGCCTGGCTGCCATGCAGGCATCCTGGCCATCCTTCCTCCTCACTGCAGGTTAACTCCCAGCATCAAGACATTTGTTTGCTGCCCTGCATCAAAGGCCTGCTCCTCTCCTGTTGTTTCTGAGCATCCTCTTTGCACCCAGTTTTCCCCTTTAGGGCTTTCTACCTGACATCTCCCGTCCATGACAAGGGGTTGCTTGCTGACTTTCATCAGCCCCAGTGACTTTCAGCATTGTGTTTGTGAGCAGAGCAGTGCTCATCCCTCAGTAGGTGTGCAGTAAGGGCCGCTTGTCTCTCACAGCAGTGGTGGCATGCAGCAGGGAACTCGGCTGAGTTATTTTTTACAGTCTACTAAGCTGTCAGGAAACGCTTTCTGTCTTCCTAGCCAGTGTGCTTGTGAGGCCAATTAAAAAAACACATTAAAAAAAAGTTAGAAACCCATCTGTGCATGGCTTTCCTTAATCTTAAATCCTCACTTACTAGAGGGAGAATGCTGGGTGCACGTTTTAAATAATATTTACAAAATAGTAACCGTCACAGTAACCAGTACTATTACCTGACTCTTGATTTAAGTTGTGTGTACAGGCCATGTAACCTATGCCGGCAGCTACTCAAATAAAGTCCACTTCTCTCTGTTGGCTTGCTTGTCTTCCAGCCTTTTAAATCAGCTTACTTTATACCTTAGAGAATACTTCTATTTCTATATATATCCTCTCTTCTATTGGCTACCCCAGATAATCCTGTGATCAGCCGTGCAGCGGTGTCACTTGAGTAGAATATGGAACGATGCTGATCGTTTTCTAGTCGGCTGTCATACTAGCCCAAAAGTAGCATCCATCTACAATGGGAGAAGCTCTATTAACATTTACAACTGTTCCCTTCCCGACCCCTGAGAATTGCTCCGTGGTAGATAAGCAATACTTTGTAATACGTTTCTTTGCACTCAGTATTTTGGAGTTGAATTCTGAAATATTAAGGCTCCTAATCCTGCTCTGCTCTGGGATACGCTGCTCTCCTTTTAGCAAGTGGTGCTGTGAATAGGATTAGCATTTCAACAGCTTCTTTTTTTAACTGTGAGCAATAAACTAAAATAATAGGGCCTGATTCAGCATGCTCTCAAGTCGGCAGTAGTACTTTGGCTGGTGTGTGTTGGCGTTGGGTCAGGCCCGTAAGAATGAGAAATTCTGTGTTTCCCTGAAAAGGAGAGAGAATGTGTGAATTTTAGAGTTCCTGCTCCTGTGGGGTCTGTCCGCACCAAGCTGAAATCCATGGATTTACAAGCCAACAAACACAACTGTAAATTTGACTGCAGGTGAAAAGAAAAGGTGTTGCTAGTCCTGCAGTTAAAACTCGTGTTCTAATGATGTCAAGGGCACTTAGGACGTGCGTGTAAACAAGCAGGCATTAGCGGCCTTGCTGTCGCCGTTCCTTTCCTCTGCCCTCAGCCCCGTGGCAGTACAGACCGTCGCTGGGGCAGAACACGGGGTGGGCACCGCGGCTGGGGCAGGGGAGGGCGTGTGGCGGCTGGCTGCGCTGAACGCAGCCCTTCAGATTCATTCGCTACGGCCCAGGGTGAGAGCCAGCTGTGAGCATCTGGCTCTCGGGGCTCAGCGTGGGATGTTATAGGCCTGTACGCTTGGACTGAAAGCAGTGTGGGGATTTACTGTCCCTGCCCCGTGCGGGCAGGGCACCCTCTACCAAGCAGAGCCCGCTCCTGATTAACACCTCTCAAGCAAGATCCAGATTCCCTTTTTTTTTTTTACTGGCCTGGTTACGCTATAGGTGACACAGCCCAAGAAGCGAGCGCAGGGTGGGATTGTAGTTGTGCTGTTCCTTGCACGGGCTCTGAATTTTTGAACCTCAGCTTTCCCCAGTGCTTTTTAAAAGCACAGCAACAGTGGCAGTCCTGCAACTTTCTACAGATATCCTTCAATCCCAAAGCTGCTAAGTTCCTTCTCCCTGTTTCTTACACATCATGCATGTATTTTCAGCTGTGCCTGGTAATGAAACGGAAAACCGATAAATTACTTGCAAATTGAAAACGCTTGGGGGGGCGGATCGAATCTCACGTGCGTTTGACTCTCCGTGTGTTTTCACCCTGCGTTATTGAACACTTTGGCGTGGTGACCTGAGCGCCGTGTCCTTTCCCAAACGCTCCCTGCCCTGGAGCAGTGCAATGAGCAGTTGGGAGCAGCGGTTTCCAGACGGCTGCGGTGGGGCTCTCCGGGATTCGGCAGAAGGGCACTGCTACAGATGGGGGACACGTAGCAGCAGTGACAGTTGTACCGCGTCCCGCGGCTCTTCATCTCCAGGACAGGTTTCTGATTGCCGGGATCGGGAGCAACCTTCACGGCTCCCTAGCAGGAATATTTAGAGGGTGTAGTTCCTCATAGCAACAAAGCGCTTCATGACATTTAACTGATTCACCCTTGCAGGTCGACAAGAAGCATTGTCTCCATTTTGGAAATGGGAGAACAAAAAAAGCTTGAGAGACGGGCCCCCGTGGGCCCAGGTTGGTGTTGGTATTTGAACTTTGTTCCCAGCCATGGGACTTTGAGGGCTGAAGAGAAACGCCTTGTCATTGCCCTTCAGGACATGGGAATTGTCTGGGAGAGCCCGAGCAGGAGTCCTGAGGGCGCCGGAAAGGGCTGTAGGTGTATTCCTCTCCTGCATTTGCTCAGGCAAATAAGTTGCCAGAGCATCTGCCTCCCCAGGCTGGCTCTCGGCGTGGCGTGTGCTGCTCGGGCTCCGAGGAGAGGCGCAGAGCAGCACGGCAACGCGTCCAAGGACACCCAGGCAGTCGTGGATTCGCAGCCTGCTGCGGTGCCCAGGGCTGTCATTGCCCCTCTCCTGTGGGGCCAGGCTGGGCTGAGAGGCGGAAGTGGGGTGACTTGCATCTCTCGGTTGCGTGCCAGGATCCACAGTATCTTTCCAGCCATTTTAGGGAGGTGCAGGTCCCTGAGCAGCGGCACTGACAAAAGCTTGGGTGTGCGGCTGTAACATGTGCAGTTGTAAATGAGCTGACCTGCATATTCTGTTTCCTAATCCTGAGTGATACTGTCAGCTCAGAGAGCTGAGCCTGGCTAATGACTGAAATCCACTGTGCTTTTCTTAGCAAGGATGTGTGGTGATCTGAGATAGTTAAGTGCTACATCCTGAGAATCAGAACTGCACGTGCCCCATGGGTCCAGCATGTTTTAGACAGATAAACGGGGTTTGAGATGATCAGGGAGTTACTATGAAAAGAACGGATGTCAGGTACACAGTAACCTGCAGTTAACTAGGAGGGAGATTAAATTAATGGGGTTTTCCCTCTGATAAAGATAATGAAGAGCTCGCAAGGACTTGGTTTGCATGATATCCATAGGCACTGTCTTCCCGGCACAGGGAATGCCAAACAGCTGTGTGACAAGAGCCATGCAGCCAGTGCTGCACCCCACTGAGCGACATTTGTGCTGTCTGAGACCTCGTCGATAGTCTACGAGATGAAGGAAAATTGGGGTGAGAGGGAGGAGTAAAAGAGAAAATGGGAATAGGCACTGCAGGAGGGGGCTCAAGGTGTCCTGGGATCCACTGCCATAACACAACCCATTTCAAGGGAGGAGGGCATGGCATGGTGGAGGGAGTCAGGACGGGAAATAACAGCTGCAGTCTCTCTTGTGCATTTAGGGTTTACTGTCAATCCTGCGTAAACTGAAAAGCGCCCCAGACCAGGAGGTGAGAATCCTCCTGCTGGGACTGGATAATGCAGGCAAGACCACACTCCTGAAACAGCTGGCATCTGAGGACATCAGCCACATCACGCCAACACAGGTGAGGAAGGCCTTTCCCTGCCCAAGGCAGCTCTTGTGGTCCAACCTGCCTCATTATGCAAAGCACTAATCATTCAGCAGAGCATTTCAGTAAAAAGGGGAGCTACTGGAGCCTGGTGCACCATAAGTTTGTGTGTTTTGTGCATAAGAGGAGGTTCCCTGAAGGAGCCAGAGATCATCAAGCCAGATCTGTCAGGTAGTGCAAAAGTGGATGGGTGCCCTGGAGTTCTGCAGAAGGCTTTTGGGTCATGCTATAGGATTGTGCGGATGACACTTTGTTCCTGTTGTCCTTGCGAAACAGAGGGCATGTATAGGGGATGCTGCAGCATTGGGCAAGCCCCTGTCTCCTTGCATCTTTCACCCAGCCAGCTCCAAGGGTCCCGCATATTCTAGCACTCCCTCTCTGATGCCATGAGTCCCCTCCATGTTGGGGAGGGGGATGTATCCCATCAGAAGCACTGCAGCATTGCTCCTGTGTTGACCAGAGGAGGTTGCTAGAGAGCTATGGGAGATGCTTCCTCCCACCCCATAGCCGCCTCCCAAAGCTCCCACCCCAACACCCCGATTCCAGGAGCCAGTCCCTCGGGTTGTGCAGCAGCACGTTGCCAGCCCACGCCACATCCTGTTTTTCTACTTGAATGCCCTTTCAATTGGTGCTCTAATTGATGAAATGGACCCTTCAGACGTGCAGCTGTTGCTCTTTTAAGCCCGGCATTAGCTGTGTCGTGTCGAATTGAGCTGAGACCTCTGGCATCGTGTTAGCCGGGACTCTCTACTCGGCTTTCACAAGCTCAGTCCTGCTTCTCACAGCGCCCTTGTTTTCTCCTTATCTGCACCTCTCCCACCTCTTCCAGCACCCACCCTGCTGAGCCCTCCCAGGGCACTGACTGCATTATATGTCTCTGTAGCCATGACAGCATCAACCCTTGACCCAAGAACTGGCAAACTGATGGTTTGGCGGCTGTGTTCTCCCACAGCTGATCCATCTTTGTGGCTGCCCAGCCCATCTCGCTGCACATTGCAGGCATGGGATATATAAGGTGTAAATGGCTGCCTATGAACGTGATCCAGCCATTCAGGTTTATGCTCTATGTGGCTTTGTTTCTGCTCTTTCCAGGGCTTTAACATCAAAAGTGTACAGTCTCAAGGCTTCAAGTTGAACGTATGGGACATAGGTGGACAGAGGAAGATCAGGCCGTACTGGAGGAACTATTTTGAAAACACTGATATCCTTGTGAGTATTGGCTGCAGTTGAATGCTGTGTTCATGCAATGGCTTTCCAAGGTCTCAGCCAGAAATTCAGGAACAAGTAATGTAATGTCCCAGTCCTCAGCAACACCCTTGCCATTGTAACAGGAGTTATTCTGAGGGAAACAGCAAGATTGGTTGGGTGCAGTAAGAAAAATACAGTGATGTTTGGAGAAATGATTCCGTTGTATGTTTTTACTTGCAAGATGGTGCTGGTTATAGCCAGTTCCTTTCCTCTCATCTCAGTCTCCTTCAAATGAAAGAACGTTAATAACTTGTAGTTTACCCATCTATGGCTCCTTTCACTGGAGGCTCTGAAGGCCTGTCACGGGCATTCATGACTTAAGCCTCCTGTGTAGAGGTAGGTTAGCATGGCGCCTTTGTTTTCTAGTTGGGGAAACTGAGGCACGGCAGAACGAAGTGCTGTGTCTGCCATCAGGTAAGATAGCTTCTGGCTGAGGGGCACAGAGAGAACTCTTGCTTTTTCCTTTGGTTCTTTAGTCATAACATCATCCTTTGAAGTTTTTGACATCTTAGCTAATTGTAAGGTAATTGCAGCTACAGATGACTACGGTTCCATTTACAATGCAGAACCCTTTTGTTTCCATGTTTTGTTACCCTGTGACGCTAGTTTCAAAGAGCACCTCTAACGTGCAGCCACATGGGACAGGGTGAAGGCAGGCAGGGGAGGCTCCAGGCCTCTCCCCACCCCAAGCAACGTTGCCTGTGGGAGCAGGGAAAAGGCTGTTCTGAGCAAGGTCTGCAGGGCTCCTATGGGAAAGCGGGAAGCTCTCTCAGAAAGACACCCTTCCTCCCTCCTTCCTCCCTCCTGTCACACACACATACTCACCAATGTGTCGGGAGCTTCAGTGCGCTTCCATGAAAGGATCAGAGCACTAGGAATAGGACTCTCTGCTCCAGGGCTCATGTCAGGGTCCTGAAGGGCCTGGCTGCGCCTGCAGATTTAGAAAGCATTGTCCAAATGAAGCTGTTAAAGAGGACTAATAAACCTTCAGTAATCTCATGCAGATTCCCCTCTTTTTAGCCTTATTTTGGCTGTTTGAGGGCGGCCACCACACCATAACCTGTCTGGTTGCTTTTGCAATGGTGAGATCTTCCGTGAGGAAAGATCTGGGCTTGAGGAACTGAGCAGGACACGGTTTGCCTGTTCCTCTGTGGCCGTCGAGAAGGAGGACACGGCGCGGCCGAGTCCCGCGCTGCAGCAGTGTGCGGGGAGGCAGTAGGTGTGCAGATCAAAGCCAACACCGCAGAGCAGCAGCTAGGGGATCGTTGCCTGCTGTGGCAGGTGCTCAGGCTGCAGAGGCTGCGCAATCACAAAACGCTATCTGGAAAGCTCTGCTGGCACAGGCAGTGAGCTGCACTGGCCTGTGGGCTTCCACCCAGTGTGTGCTGCATGGGAGGGGCATAAATAAAGGTGAATTTGAAGACTGAAGGCGATGAAAGCAGTTGTTTTCCCTGCCCTCCTCCCACCCCAGTTAAGACAGTGTACAGAGAAAACCCTTCTTTCCATGCGAGTAAGAAAACAGGTAGATAGAAGCGGAATCAGTTTTTGGGAAGCAGCGGTGTGAATTCAGAGGGAATAACTGGTGGGCACATGGATCTGAGCTCCCCAGTCCCAGACTAGGAGTAGTCTGCACGTTAGTGCGCTGCTTTGCTATGTCCATACACACCAAGACCGGAATCAAGTATATGCTGATGACTCTCTTCTGCCAGCCCTCACCTGTTTTAGCCTGTAATTTTACCCTCTGACAAAGCTGGTGCAGGTTGTGCATCTGTAAATTGAGCCTCGTGTAACTTCTTCATCCAGTCCCACCACATGCGCTTTTTGCCCCGCTCACTCCAGGTTTTGTTTTGGCCTGTTGCTCAAAGAAGGCACCTGACTATATGGGAATTTCTCCCTCAAGCTCCATTTCTCCAACATGGTGTACTCAGTGGCTACTCAAACTGGCAAACTGGGCTACCGAGCACCACAGCCAGAAACAGGCTCATGTCAGGCCCTGGCCATAGAAAGAAGGTGGAGATTGAAATGCTACAGTTCCCAGGACCCCCTGCTTCTCTCTTCTCCTAAACTATATTGCATGAAGCGGAAAGTGCCCTCTAAAGGGTGTTAAAAAGCAGGAAGTGATTGCAAATTCAAATCCGTGCAGGTGCCTTTGAATGAGAACTTGGTCTTGCATCACACACCTGTGATATTTGGAAGCTTAACCCAGGCAAATAAGGTGTGGATATCTGGCTGATTGCATATTCAGACAGGCACCTGCAGCTATTTGGCACAGCGCTTTCTGGTTTGGAAGTAGGCACTCCGCACATACTTTACCTTCTCTCTGGTGTGCTTTTGCGGCTTTTGCCCCGAGCACTGTTGTCTCTAATTCTCATCTTGCAAAATAGCTCCCTAGCAAGGAACGGAGCGGTGCAGGAGAAAGTCTTTCTGGTTGGGACCCAGAGCTCTTCGTTGCCAGTAAGAGAAGTGCGGTAATATGGGAGGTGCCACCTTGCAGTTGAGAAGTAGTGCTTGACTGTTGTGTTCATGTGTTGCTAAGCTTCCCCTAGATGTCCCAAAGGAGATGATGGTCCAGTTTCATTCCAGAGCACAACTGCAGCTTCTTCCTTTCCTTCGGTCTGTGTTTCTTACCCCGAATGGGATGCACAGGCGTGGATGCTTGAGAGAGGCAGAGAGGATGGGCGTAGCTGATAGAGTATTGAGGCACGTGCTTGGAATCGCAGTGTGGGGAGAGGCTGCGTGTCACGCCGTGCCCACGGGCCTTTCCCCATCACGTGGCACCAAGCGCGCTGCTGATGCATCGCCATGCAGCTGCGCCTAGCTGTGTGCCCCCAGCCTCTGTCAGCGAGCATCAGCTCAGCCCCGGCGGGATTGCAGACCCCAGATTGTCAGCAGAGAGGTCTGCGAGGTTGCTGGGTTACCTCCTCAGGCCTGGCATACAGATTCTCCTGCTGTGTGTTTGGTGCCATTTCAAACAACTCTAATGCTGCTCATTAAGGGAGTGCCTACAGTTTAATAGATATTGCTGCTAGAGATCTTCCCTCCCCCAATTATTTGGTCGAAATTATCCTGGAAGCGTGGAGTCTTATGCTGAGACTGCCTGCAAGGATGCCATTTATCTTGATGGCGGGGTGCTGTGCTCATCTATTCCCTGAAAACCAGGCTGACACTTGCTCCCTGTAAGCCACCAAAGAGCATGCAGATGACATGCCAGCAGCTTCAATCACAGCTGATGGAGAATGGCAGGGACTGGGAGCAAAATGCTCAATGTTTATCACCAGTCCTGTCCCCGTCTGATGTCCCAGCACCCTTCTCCTTTAAAAACCTTCCCATACCAAGCAATGAAAAAAGGATGCTAGGCTATTCTTGCCTGAGTGTTACACTGAGGTTCCCCGTTTCTTTAGATGGAGCTTGATAGCTGTGTGCTCTGAGCTGTAATAGCGTTGCTAAGGGGAAGTAGGGTGACTGGACTTACTAGTTGCATATTTAGGGGGACCTCTGAGGAGCCTTTTAGCCTCTGCAGATACAGAGCTGCCTTCACTGAGAAGGCCCGTTTGCATTTACAGAAAGAAATCGCCATAGGCTGCGCTGCTTGGAGAAGCGGAGACCCCCTCCCAGGGCAGGGAGCCTGCAGACCAGGAGATCCACCCTTCTCGGTACCAGGGGACAGGTGTCCAGTTGGGACCTCCTCCTGCACCATGAGATGTAGTGCCAAGCCCTGAGAGGGTGGCTGGACTTTGCTGGTCAGTCTGTGTGAGCCAGCTACTCCCTGTCTTCTCCATAGTCCTGCTGGACAAGCTGATAGCTGAAGAAGTCTCAGAGGCTGAATCCACCCCTTTGCCCCAACCAGCTGCTCCAGGAGGTTGCAGTAGGATCTCCTGATGGAGAGGAACTCAGTGTCCCCAGTGTACTCATCTGTGCCCTGAGTGCCATGGCCTTGGTGGCTCATCGAGGAGGTGATGTGTGCTGCTAGAGGGCAGCACGGCATAGTGGCACCCATGCAGTGCTTGTGCACTGTTCCCTAGGGTGAAAGACCAGGTCTGGCTCCCCACATTTTGTCCTCCTGTGCTCAGTTTCAACCTGTGAGCCGGTCATTTGAAAAGATAACCAGGCAGCCTCCTGTTTTCTCCAGGTAATACGCGCTGTGGAGGTGGTGAGAGCACCCCAGTGCTGCCCCCAGCTCCTTTCTCATCCTACTCACGTGTCTGTCAAACCCCCAGCTTTAAAAGGGGTGGTTCCTCTCCTTTCAGAACGTCATGAAGTTTTGTCAATGTTTGCTATAAATAATACTGGGGATCTTTGTGCCCTGAAGCGTAATTATGAGGCTCGGCTCACTTACGCACGTGATACCGTGGAAGAGTGTCTTTTGGGGAAGAGTAACTCTTCCTTTTACTTCTTTTTCAGATCTATGTTATTGACAGTGCAGATAGGAAGAGGTTTGAAGAAACAGGTCAGGTGAGTGAGTTACGCGCAGCTTCCTTTGAAGTAACTCGGTGCTTCTGAGTGCCCCTTTCTCACAAAAGTTAGGAAGATGATTTTGTTGTTTATGAGGGAAATTTGCATTTCAAGAGAGACTTGCCTTTCAACATCAATGCAGATTATTTTGGTAGATGTGAAACAAGGAAAATAGGTAGCCTACTTCCGTTTAAATAGAACGGTTTTCATTGAAGTTATACAATAATAGCAAATGGAGCCCAATATTGAAAGCAAAAACTTCCCAAAGTCCTTTAAACCTTGCCAAACCAAGACCCTAAGGAATCACATTTTCTTATTTACAGAGTTGAAATGGAAATCATATTGACTTGATTGTCTTTTGGATGTAATTGGGGAAAAAAAAAACCTCTAAGAACTTTGTAACTAGGACTGGCCATAAAATTAAGATTTCCGTTTTGCGAAGTTTTGATGTTTTGTAACATTCTGTGTTTTAAGATGGAACAAAAATAGGACTTTTGAACTTTCTTCTGTAAAATTCAGAAAGCGACAGTGTCCCAAAATAGCTAGCAAAAGATTTACCCCCCAGAAATGGGAGATTTGGTTTCAAGCCCTCTGTTCTGCCTGCTTTGAAGGAGGCACTTGATCTTTTGCCTCTCAAATATCATGGACACACCCTAACAGCAGAACTGTTGGTTGTTCTAGGGGTGGGGGAATCTTTCTCCTTTTGGAGCTATTTCATTTTATAATTAAATATTCATTGGGCAAAAGAGAGGGAGAGGAAGCAGAAGCTTAGAGCACTTGCCTGAGTCAGGCGGAGTCAGCCTGGACCCCTCATATTTCTGCAAACGCTTCCATAAATCAGCCGTGTCAGATGAAAGACCTATTTTGCTGAAAAATTCCTGGCCAGCTCTGTTTATAACTCCATTCTCTCATCCTGGTTTCCAAACCAAACATTGCTTTTGTGGGGGTGGAGTCAGATTTCTGCTGCAGTTTAGCATCTCCCTGACTGCACTTGTTTAATCCATGAGTTTCTAGCCGGTGGATGAAAGGCGTTAGGACGGTATCTGAGAGCACAAGACCTTTCTAGCTAAATAGGGAGCCCACAAAAATCTCATCTATCTGCAGCACCAGCAATCCCTGCAGGTTCAGGTTCTGCTGGGTTTGTCATATGTTCACACAGGGAAGTGACTTGAGACTGTGGGCTTGTTTCACTCGAGGCCATTGCACAACCCTAGACATGACGGATTTCAGCCACCGTTGTTCCACTGCAGATTCAGATTTGAGCTATTGAAAGAATCTCTTTGAGTCACCCGGTTTTGAATGAACAAACCCATTTCTCAAGATACCACCCAGCCCATGCTGCATATATGGAGGCAAAATCCAGCCAGTGAAGCTGATCTAGCTTGTCTTCAGCAGCACTTTCTTATGGGAGGGAGATTTCCATTTCTGGGGGGGAAAGAAAAAAAAAAAGTCCTCTCCCACTCAAATTGCAGTGTATAAAACTTGGAACAAGCCCCTGAAACTCATTATTAGCAAAGATATCAGGGCTGGTGTCAACGGCTGCTCAGGTACAAACGCCAGTCAGGCAATAACTTAAGACAGATCCCTCATACTGCCAATTTACATGTTTTTTGCTGTTTCATCAGTTTTGGTCTCCTGGGAGCAGGGACTGGTAAAAGGCAGAGTTGTAGCCTCTAAGGCAACTGCTAATTTCAGACCAAGATGAAGATTTTTGTAACCTGTAATTGGAAGAAATAGCTTTTGAACCTTGGGCAGAGATGATTGTATGCATTTTTGCTCTCTTATAATAAGATCTAGGTTTCACTGGAACACACTCTTCCAGCATTTGCCCTAAATATATTTCTAATTAGAGACAACCACTGGTGGTTGAAGGTTTTCTTCCCTTCCCTCCTTCCCTCCCTCTTCCCCCCTCACCCCACTCCCTTGTAAATAATATAGGAGCTGGCTGAGCTTTTGGATGAAGAAAAGCTTAGCGGAGTCCCCGTGCTCATATTCGCTAACAAGCAGGATTTGCTGACGGCTGCCCCTGCTTCGGAGATTGCTGAGGGACTGAACCTGCACACAATCCGGGACAGAGTCTGGCAGATCCAGTCTTGTTCAGCTCTTTCAGGAGAGGGAGTACAGGTGAGGCTCTGGTGAAGGCTTGCTGTGCCAGCAGGCCATCTGTAAGAGACTGTTGATCTGCGGGGAGGGGCTGGACTGGCTGCCTCGCAAGGGGGGGTCAGCGCAGCCAAACCCTTGCAGCGCAGAGCATGGGGGGGCACGTGTCTCATTGCCTCTGCAAAGGGAGGGGGGAGCTGCGGGCCCTTGGGATCTCCCCATCCCCGGGAAAGATGAGAGCGATCGCTTCCCCACTCAGGACCCCTTGGCTAGGCCAAATGAAGACATTGATTTATTTAAAAGAGACTGCTGTCAGGTTAATCATTTTCACAAAACAAATCGTCTTCTACTATTAACCCCTTTGACTGTTACAAGCATGCACTTCAGAAACCTGATTTACCTTTGCTACTAATGACGTTGGGCACTTTGCTCAACCCAGGCGCCAGAGAGAAACCGATCCATTTTTCTGATCCAGAGAAACAGAGTTGTGTGCAGGGCAAGGACCACTTCTCATGGCAGCGAAAACCCACCAAGGGGGCTGAGCTGTGCTGCTGTGCTGAACTGTAATCGCTGTCACTTGGGCTCCTGTGCTGGTTCCTGCAGCATAGTAGCTCTTTGTAATGTAAATGGAACCTGGGTTTGTTTACTTCACTCTTAGGCTTTCCTGAATTAATGAAATATTTGCAGTGCTTGAAATCTGAGCAGTCAGGAATACTCCCTTCACTGATATTTAAAGAAACAGAATGGTGAAGGACATTTACCTTCATTGCGGATTCAGTAAAACCTTATTTGCAGATGCTACAGAGCTGTTCAGGACAGTCAGATCTCAAGCTGAACACGGAGAGTCGCGGCAGAAGCCCGCAATACTGAGTGGGCAGTAAAATGGCAGATGAAATTCAGTGTTGACAAGTGCACAATAATGCACGTGAGGAACAACAGCCCTAACTACACTCATAGGAAGATGGACTCAAAATTAGCTGCCATTACTCACGAGCAGGTCGTTGGGAACAGCAGCTTAGTGCTCATCGAAAGCGAGAGGGGAAAATCAAATGCGAGAGAATTACCAGAAAGCAAACAAGGAACATCCCAGAAAACATTTCTTTCGTAGTGGGATAAAGGTGTGGTGGGCCCATGCCTTGAACGTGACATTCATTTCTGCCTCTGCCAGAGGTTTTAGTAGTAGTAGAATCAAGAGTTCAACAAAAAATTAGGTTGAAGGGTCTTTGGGTGACCTTCAGGCCAGCCTCATGTTTAAAGCAGGGCTACCTACGAGCGTAGAGGAGTTTGCTGAGGGCCTTGTCCAGTCAAGCTATAAATACCTCCAGGCATGGAGATTCCTCAGTAGGTAACCTTTCCTAGCACTTAACTACCCTCATCAGAAAGAATATTGTCTATATATCTGCTCAGAATTAGGAGAGATTTGAGTCCCTTGTCAAGAATGATCAGTAGCACGGAGTGGCATCTGTACGCAGGGATAATAAACAGATTAGGACTTGCAGCTTGGAACAGAGAGGATGGAGAGTGGGAACGTCTTCAGGATTTATAAGGTATAAAAATGTCAGATAGACTATATGCTGTTTTTCACCGTGCTAGAGGAAGGGCGTTCCTAATAAAATAATCAGACAACACCCTAAAAGAAAGGGGGGGGGGTAAAGGGGGGGGGGGGGGAAAAGGGAGGGGTGTGGGTTTTTTGAGAGTTGTGTCATTAGATTGGATCTGAAAAATAGTAGGTGAATTTCTGAAGAGATCCGCGGGCAGACTTTACCACTAAGATCTGGAGGCAGCTTCTACATGAAGAACAGCTTTGGGCCACAGACTGGGAGGGGAGATCAAGGGAGATCCTGTTCCTACGTGTTCTTTCCCTTGGCATCCAGAAAGGGGATGCCGGCCCGGATGGACCGTTGGTCTCACCCAGTGCAGCAGTTCTTCTAATCAAAAATTCTGAACCTGCTGTTCAGGCCTGGGCGTAGTAGACGGTGCCCTCCAAAGGGCCATTCGGCTGCGTTGCGGCCGGTCTTGCGGAAGGCTTCAACTCTAATCCTTATTTGGAAGTGGTGGTGGAGGGAAACGCGTTCCACAATGGGAGCGTATAGCCATGCCGGAAGAAATGCGATGGAGAACGCGAGGCTGCAGTTCATGCGGTTGAGGCAGGCGGAGGTCACCTTCTTCCCCCCCATCCAGGCTCTCTGGTTCATGGGAGTCCAAGTGAGCTCTCCAGCTGCGAAGGGGCAGTAAAGCGGCAGATGAAATTCAGGGGTGCACGTTGGATGGGGAAGAATAGATGAGAGAAAGCATCGCTTCCTGGTCGTGAGCTTTGAAAAGTGCCACCTCCCCAAGCTGATCTGTGGGCTCTCTGGGGTGGGCTGCGTGCTTCTTTGTCGGTAGTGCCTTCTCCTTGAAGTACAGTGCATCCCTGAGCTTTCAGTGGAGGAAAACATGCAGCCCAATACCCTCTAGCAGAGAAATGAAACCTGCTTCTGATTCACTTCCACAAAATGGAAGACAAGAGCTACATAAAACTATTTGAAGGCCTATATATTTTGTCATGCTTATCTAGACAAATTAATTTAGATTCAGGCAGATAACATCCCGCTTTGTTGTCAGCGGTCTCATTGCCCTAAATGCTGCTGCTCATTCCATAAATGATTATTGCAGAAAGGTCAGGGAAGTTGCAGACTCTCTACAGCTTATGGAAAAGGAGCCCCTACATTTCTCTTCTGCCATGACTCCAGCCCTGTCCAATCAGACAGCAAGAATGCCAGGCTCTCCCTTTCCTTGGAAGTTCCTTGGGCAACACGGTTTGGGAGATGGCTTTGAAACTAAGCCTGGATCAGCCCAGGAAGAAACGGTGTCTTCAGTCCTGAGACTCTAAGGAGAGGTCAAAATTTAGGGGAATTAAAGAAGAACTTGTTTAAGATTAAGAAAGATGTTTTGAGGCCCGTGGTACACAGTATCTCTACCGGTAGGTCAGAACGGGGGCGCTCAGTGTAGTTGAATCTCAGGTCACTGCTTTAAGGGCTTCTTTGAGAAATTACAGTGAGTGACAGCAAAATAAATGAAGGCGTGGAAGCATCAGGTATGCAGAATGAAAGCCAAGGAGCGAGCACGCTCGCCATCTCTGCTGATGGAATATATTAGCTAGAGTAAAACTGGAGACGTCGCTGACGGATTTTGCGAGGGAGAGCGGTAGCATATCCCGGTACTGAGCACGTGCGGGAGCAGAGTTCGTAGGGGAAGAATTTTGTGATAGCTTGAAGGAAGAGCAGTGAGCAAAGATAAATAATGCCGGTGCATGAAGGAGAAATAGTTTGAAGGTCATTTAATTAGTTTAGCTGCTAGCACCATGGTGTATAGAATTGGGTAGTTAAGACTGGGGATTTCAAGGTTAATGAGATTAGATTATGGTTAATAGAATGATATAAATTTAGAGAAGTTAACTATTATTTGAAATGGGTTATTTAATAAAACTGTTAATTACGGAGGGAATCCATATTGTCATCTTCTCTTTAAAATTAACCACTGGGGACTCTGGAAAAGGGGCCCAGCAATGGCCTGGGCTGGCTCGGGAGTGAGGTGACTGGGTTAACTGGAAAGCCCATGCAGTGTCCTCTGGAAGCCAGCGGGTAACCCCTGTTACCCCGGCTGAAGACTTCATTACCTCCAGACCGTAACCACGGGCACCGCTCGCCTTGTGCATCAGACTTGGTGGTGCCATTGAGGGAGGAGCAGCAGCCCTCATGCTTACAGCAAAATGTCTGCTTGGGTCTAGATTTTATCCTTCAGCTCTTGTTAGGAAAGCAGGAAGGCCTTTTCTCCCTGCCGCAGCCATCTGGGCTCTGCCTCTGGAGCGGGGTCCTGCACCAGCTCACACCCAGACCCTTGCACAGGGTGCAGCGAGCGAGGGAGGCGATGGCTGATGTCGGCAGAGGAGCAAAAGGGAAGTGTTGCCTCACAGCAGCTCTCTGGTGCCACGTAGGCTCTCCTGGGGCTGTGTTTTGTGAACAGGTCTCCAACTGTAGTCCTTGGTGTGCAAAAGCTGTGTGCATTCCACCCTGGCCGGCTGGGGTGGGGTGAAAGCAGACAGGACCTCTTGCTGGAGGTGTTATTTAGGGGCCAGGATGTGGGGTGAACATGACTCAAGGCTTTGGACCGCTCTGTGCTCTGCAGCTTGCTTCTTGTCTGAAGCAGGAGGCTCCAATCCTGGCAGCAGGAGCTCAGCCTACCCTGAGGAATCGTCCTCCAGAACGATGCTGCAGTGTATTGTGTCCGGAGTCTCCCAAGCATAGTGGGCCTCTGGAGACGATTAAAAGCCAGTGGAACTGAGAGTAGCCACTAAACTTTCTAATTTATACCAGTGCTGGTCTGGCCCAAAGGACTGTGGGGCGGGCTGGGACGCCTTCTCCTCCCTGGCTGTTTCAGCCCAGTTGAGAACAGAGCCCAAGACCCGAGCCCTGCCGATGCTGCGATTCAGCACTTTCACAAAGGCAGGGTTCAGAGCAGGACCCCCTGGCAACGTCGTGTCCTCCGAGCTAGGCTTTGTCTTAAAGACGTCTTAGCCAGGGCGGCTAGATGGGGATCTTCCGCGTCTTCACAAGGTTCTGGGGCTCTGTGTAAATGTGATTTAAAACCAGTTTCGATGACTGCAGCTCTCCTGGGGCGGGCAGAGCTGGTGCTCGTCGAGGAAAAGCAACCGTGTTTCCAGATTACAGGGCAAAGTCTTGTGATTTTTAAGGCTGAGGAGGGAGTCTGCAGTGCTGCATCAGGGATACAGGCTCTCAGAGGAAAAAAGAAAAGCTTGCACCCAGGCAAAAAACGACGGATAAGTGGGAGCCTGTAAAAGCCAGCCTGTATGATGACTGGAGGTGCAAAGAAATGAGAGATAATGAAGGCACAGTCCTAGCCGTGCAGGGGGAGAAGAAAGTGACAGTTAGAATAGCACGTACCAAAAATGCTAGAAATGGAGAATGTTGCACTTGCCTGACCCAATTTGTTATGGCAGACAGAGGATTACATGAAAGGATTAAGCTTCGCTGTCCTTAAGGTCACGTTAGGGGTCACAAGTTTGTGGCCTTGCCTGATCCCTGGCTTGCAGGGGAGCAGAAATCGGGAGGCTTTTTATGGGGTGGAAAGGACTCGTTCGCCGTGTTTGAAGTAAGATTACTTCACTCCCACAGCCGCAAAGCTGATAACGCAGGGAATAAGCAAGCAGCGGGCTAATCTCAAGCAGGACTTTTTATTTCTCCCGGGGAAGGCTCTACCAGTCCTTTCCCAAAGGGCACTGGAGCACAGCTCCCTTGACACAACGGCAGGTGTGACTGCAGCAAGGCAGGGTTGTGCTGAGCCGCGTTTCTCCGCAAGGAGCATTATCCTCTTCCCTCGAGTTCTCTCTCTTTGCTTTGGTAAAGTTTACTAGCTGCTCGTTAAGGAGCTAAGAGGGGCAAAGCTGAAAGATCTGAAATCTTTCCCTGGCTAAGTTTTCCCAGGGTTGACTTGAGGCTGGAATACTAATGTTGTATCCGTCTCCATCTTCAGAGTACCTGCCAGTGTCTCTGTGTCTCAAAGCAGCGCAAGGACATCTATCAGGATCTGAATGTTACTGTAGGGATTGTGCTTACTGCACAGAGCCATCCTTTAGGCATGCAGATAGAGGGGCATGTGTGGAGGGACAAAGGATGACAACAGTTCGCTCCTTGTGAACGTGACTCTTTCAACCGCCGTTTCCTCCTTCCTGCCTGCCTTCCCCACTGCAGCTCTTTGTGCTGGTAGCAGCTTCCCTGGATTTCTGTCTCTTACCAACCCTCTGTCCTGCTTCAGACCCTAGGTAGAAAAACTGGGAACATGCCTTTTAGCTTCTTTTGCTTTCCGTTGCGTTTTCCAAAGCACCTGGGGACACTGTAGAACACGTGTCCCCCAGCGAAGTCGCACCAGAAGCTGTGGACGTAGTTGCAGCGTGGCTGACGGTGAGGAAGGTGTTTCACCCGTACCTCTGATACAAGGCATGTAGGGCTGAGCGTGCTCTTTTTCCCTTTATCCCTGTCAGGCAGGGAGGTATTTACAATTAAATGTGATTTTTTCCTGTCAGTTAACTCATGCCAGAAGAGTGATTTTAAAATCTCTTCCTGCTTTAAAAGTTCAGTGACCTACTTCACGTATTTCAAGCCTGTTTAGAGTTCACCTTTCCTCTTGCATTTTGCTATGTCATTCTTTTGCCCTCGTTACATGCTTGATGCAGCCAGGCTCCCAGCCATGGTAAATCCCATCATAAACTCTGCTTTATGACCCTCGCCGCACCGTGCTGAAACGGTCCGTCTTTCCCCTTCCCCGGCTCCCCAACGGCAGCAGGCAGAGTTTTAATCACTGTGAATTCAGGTTGTGGTCAGATTAGGTAGAAGATAGGATGCGTGTTGGTTGTTTTGCAGTGATGTATTGTTTCTGGGATTACTGTGCTGAATAGCAGAGGGTGTCAGCTGATATTTATTACTTTAAGCTGTCTCAGCTGTTCTGGTTCAGCAAATAAACCTACATTCAAAATGAATGAGGAGCTCTGCTTGCCTTGTATGCCATGATGTGTGCAAATGTGATTATTGCTTCCGAGGCAGGGGAAGCTGAAATCGTTGTGGGAGCGTTTTTTCAGTTATTTATTTATTTTTACTCTTTGCAGGCAATCATGCAGATTTCTAAAGCACACAATCAAGCCAAAGGCTTGACACCTCTCCTCCTAGCCCCATTGTTAAACCCTGGCATTCCTCATGCCGGGGCTCGCTCGCTCCCTCTCTCTCTAAAGTGATAAGCTTTAAACCACGCTATTGATTGCTTAAGGCATTACATGTTTTACACCTAGGTTATCAGTGTTATTGAAAGGGGAAGACACAAAGCTACTGGGCCTTAAAATGAATCTACCTCTCGTCTTTTCCCATTTGCTCTGAGGATTTCAGACAATTTGTTTTACTCTGATCTCTGCTGTGGAGATAAATAAATGAAACCGGAGACATCAACCCTCCCCAAGGTTAGAGTTAGAAGCGTTATTAGTGTAGGGCCTCATGTGCACCCCGGCGCAAGCTGGGCTCGCTTATTCTTTATTTAACTCTGCAACGAGGCCTGATTTCAGAAGTTGCTGCTCCCCTTCAGATAAGAAGTGTCACATAGCGCAGCTATCAAGGTGAACTGGTATTTTCAACTGAGAACCTCTCTGCTTCTGATTAAGCCCCGAGGACTCCCTCTCTTCTCTCTTAACTCTTTAGCTCCTCTCCGACGTGGCCACCACCTGAGGGTGGCTGAGGGGCAGCGTGGTGGCTCGCCCCAAGGGCCTGCCATGCTGTGCCTCTGGCTGGCCGTCCTTGGGACAGATGAGCTCCTCCGCAGCCGTCTGGGGACAAGGGCAACGCTGCTAGCAGCGTTGTTGGCCCAAAGGCTGCACTCTTCCTTAGGGTCTAACTAGCATTTTAATGATCCAAAAATGACCACTGAAGGTAGCACAGTGAAATCCGCCCTCCAGACCTCCAAGGTGACGGTTTGTCCGATTTCCAAGCACAAAAGTGTGCCGCTCTCATCCCCAAAACCCCACCTGCCTTCTCTCTGCTATGAGCCTCCCCATCGGCAGAGGTACCTCGTAGGCAGAGCAGAGGTGGTGGGTTTGATTACGACAAGACTGTGCGTGCTGCGCTCCGTTCTGCGCGTCTGACGGCACCGAAGTGGCAGGAGCAGATAAACCGTCGCTTTGCCCTTCAGTAGCGTGTCCCGTCCTGGGCTCTCAGCAGTAAACTCACGTCTCGGGTACGCAGAGCGCGTGATACCCTCCTCCTTGCGGTGGTCAGAGGTGCTGTGCACAGATTTTTATGGAAGTCATCTAAGGGGTGTATCATCCTCTCAAACCGTGACCACACCTATTCTCACTGAACCCCTGTGGGACCCCTCAGGGCCCATTTTCTGTGGGGTCCCCGAGGTACAGGGTCCAGATCCAGTTATGGCAGTGGCTTTCATGGATCTGGACTTCAAGGCTTGCGGCTGAGCAGAGAATTAGACTGTATAACGAACAGCCCCTTAAAATCCATGGTCTCAAAGACCGGATGACTTGCCTGAGGTCACACAAATCATCTGTGGCTGAACCTGGAACTGAGCCTGCGTCTGCCACTGACGTACCTGGGCTGCAAAGCCATCCTTCCTCGGAGACCTGCACCTAGCCATGAGACCACGATACTCCTTATGGTCAGATGAAAGATTTAATAACCCCCGTGTGACAACATTTACCGAGCTGTGAAGCACTTGTGGCTTTCACCCACGGTGTTTTCGGGTGAAACCCAGGCAGGGGGTAGACGAGGAGGCAGCACACGGTGCTTGCAGAAAGGTGGGCAGGTGGGACCGGGGGATTCGTTTTCCCTTCGCTTGACTAACGTTACCTTTCTCTGTCTGAAGGATGGCATGAATTGGGTCTGCAAAAATGTCAATGCTAAGAAGAAATAAAGCGTTCTGAGCGGCGTGGAAATGGAGGAGCGGTGGGAGCAGAATCCTAGCCTGAAAACACTAATTTTCTGCTTTCTGACCAAATGTTTTTCCATCTGTGCACAGCTACAGCTGTTAAAAGAAAAAAAAAATTGAGAGAGAAAAAAAACAAGGGGAACAACATCGGTTAAAACCTACTGCTGGGTTTGGAACCTGACCTGCTCTTTAGTATCGTTTTTTATCCCAATAAAGGAATTGTATATGTCCTCCCTATGCATAAATAGTATTAAATGTCTGATTAGCAAGCAAGCTTGCGAGCAGAAGCAAGACTGTGAGGCAGCGCGGCGCAGAGGGCGAGTTGCCGTAGTCGCTTAGGTGTAGGACCTGCCCCGTACGTGCGGGTTTGCGGTTGCTGAGGACACGCTCAGGTGTCAGTCACAGCTTCCCCTCAGTGACACATAACATGCGGTTGTGTTACCAATGGTGAGTAGTTTCTTAAAATAAAGCTGCTAAGAAGTCATTTGTGTAACGAGGGTAGAAGACTTCCACGTATTCCTGTAGCCATAAAAGAGGAGTTTGATCATAACAAGGCACTGTTGCATTGTGACACCGCCACAGAAGGGAGAGAAGGGCTGTATGTGTATAATTGAAGCTCTTTACAGCTGGAATAATGCAGGATGAGCGTGCCTAGGGCTTTTCTCGCAGCTGAAGGAGAATTTAGCCCAGCATTTCACCTTGAGCCAGCAAAAAACGTGGTTCCTGTGTTCAGTAAGTTCCATATGTGAGATTAGTCTTGATGGTGAACAATCCCTGTTGATTTTCCCTTGATGTTAAGGCAACTCTGCAGCAAAATGCAATTAAGTCCATGATTACTTTCTAGAATGAGATACCAGGTCCCAGGTTTCCTTTTTGAAATGTGCAAAATATATTCTCCTACCCCCCTCCCTCGGCGTAGCCCTTCGGGGACTGCCCCGCTGCGCGCTGGCTGCCCAGGGCCCGAGGTGCCCCCAGCCCCGTGCCGGCTGCGGATTGCCCTGGTAGGGGGTGAGGAGCCCGATGAACGGCAGATGGGAAGCGTTCTTTCCAACGAGGATTCGTTCTTCCCTGAGCTGGCTTTCCCCTGAAAGGATGCAGTCGCTGAAATGGGAAAGAGACTGTGTTTTCCACCTCCTCGTCCCCGATTCCAGTGTAGCCCCTGCTGACAGCGAGCCGGAGCCATCAGCGCGCCAGAGCAGCCATGGCCTGTGCGGAGCGAGCTCGGTGACTCCTGGGCTGGTTTCTAATGCACAGATGGCAAAATAATCCCACTGCCCCGCTTGCCAGCTTTGTTTGCTGCCTGCGAAAGGCCAGAGAATGACTAGGGACTGCCGAGGGGCGGCGTTCCCCCTCCCCCCTCGGGGAGACGGAGCGGCGGGCGGCACGGGGAAAGCTGCTGGTACCAAAGCATGTGGCTTCACCACGCGTCAGCGAGTTGACTCATGGACCCAGGCAGACGGCTGACACCCCTGGAGCTCCTGGGTCTCCGCTCCTCCCTTCCCCTGGACATCTCCGCGGCAGAAACATCTGCACTGTACGTGAAGCAGCCCCTGGCTGCCTACGTGTTGCAGCCCTGCAGATTCGAAGTCATCTGGGGCCGATTCCGGGTCTCCCCCCCCCATACATCAGGATGCACGGTGGCGGTTCGGGGGTTGAGCTGCGTGTCATTCGTCTGTCTTTGCTGTGGCTGGGGGCAGAGGGACAGCTGGGACAGCAACTGCATTCGCAATCCAGCTTTAATCTGCCGGCGTGCGTGAGTCAGCACCCTCCGAGTGCATCTGTCTCCGGCACCGAGGCAGGACACGCATGCCGGAGTGGCTGAGCCTCGCTCTAAAAAATGGCCAACTGGGGGGGGGAGGAGGGAAGCGCAGGCTGGAGCGAGCTGTTAAGCAATCGCTAATGACACAAAGTGACACAGCTCCAGCTTTGCGTGGATTGAGTAAGGAGTCGGGAGATGTTCGCTTCAACGGCTCGCTCCCTGACTGCCCGCCTGCGTTGGCTTATTGGGAACCCCAGGAATCTGAGCACCGCGTGTTCCTGGGTCAGCCCACGGAGGAGTCGTATCCCAGCGTCGCCTTGTCCTCGCAGCGAATGCGTTCGCCTGATGCTGGGCTGAGCGGCAGATACTCCCTGCACTGCATGCCAGGTACCGAGGGAAACGCTGGGATACCCCTCCTCTGGCCCGGGCACGACGGAGCGAGGTCTCCTCGGGGGCTCAGGCATTGATCCTTCTCGCTTGAGTTGGTGCTTCCCTGCTCCCTACCTTTTCTACCAGTGGCAGAGTTATCCTGCGACACCCCCCCCTGTGCCACAGTTGGCGTTCTGCAGCCAAAAAGCACCCGGGGGCGTAATTCAGGTTTTTTAGGCTCACATTGGTTCAACTTGGAAATGCAGAAAGTATAGTAATTTCCCCCTCGTTCCGGTTTGGAAGGAAAAATTGCCTTACTGAACCCAGGATCCGGAAGGGTTTGCTGGCTCCATCGTTACGTGTGCGTGTAACTGCACGTGCCGGTTGGGTGCAGCTGTCCCGGGCGGTGCTTGGCCTGTAACCCAGCAGGAGTTCGGTTTGCCTGCCCTGGGCCCGAAGCGGAAGGCCGTGGCAGAGCAAGCCACGCTGGGAGGATGGTGAGGCAGGGTTGAGATGACCGTGACAAACAAATCACCCTGCAGCTGATGGCTGTAAACGCTCCTCGTATTGTAAACATCTCTGTGCGCTGGCCTGGTGAAAACGTGGGAGGATTTGAGGCTCTCTTCGCTCCCCGCTCCTATCTTTACATGGCTGCGCCCTCCGCAGGACCCTCCTCCCTAAACTCCACCCGTAAAACCGTTCCAGAGTGCTGCTGGGCGAGACCCCGGCCCCTCTCGCGGCCCTTCGGCTCCCGCTTGGTTTGTGGGAGTTGCGTACGCAAGGCCGGGTCCTTCCGACTCTGCGTCGCCCTCCCTT